CCTCTCTAGAGCCTCCCTACCCTCAAGCAGAGCAACACTTCCACCCAGCCTGGTGCCATCTGCAAACTTACTGAGGGTGCACTCTACCCTCTGGTCCAGATTGTTAATGACAATGTCAAACAGGAGCGGCCCCAGCACTGAGCCTTGGAGGACACCACTTGTGAATCACCACCAACTGGATTTAACTCCATTGATCACAACTCTTTGGACTCAGTCATCTAACCAGATTTTTACCCAGCAAAGCGTATGCCCATCCAAGCCAAGAGCAGTCAAGTGGAAGCAACAGTTTATTCCATTACCATACCTGTACCCTAATCTGGTCAAATAAGATCAGGTTGGTAAAGGTCTTATAGAACCTCAAGATACAGAGAAGGTACCCTGAACAAAAATATAGGTCACATTCTCTTAGGAGCAACTCAGCAATCACGTGAGGCGTAAGGAGCATCTTTAAGATCAGCTCAGTGTTCTCCTAAAGCATAATGAGTGCTGAACTGAAAGGTGGGTGGGTACATTTCACCCAGCACTGGGCATCTAATTTAAAAGATGACCAGTATCTAAACCACACGAGCCAACAGCAGTACTCAGGTGTGTACTCAGCAGAGGGGAAGCACAGATATTTGCTTTGCCTGAACCCAAGGAGAGGAAGCAATTACCAATAAGAAGTGGAGTTTCTCCTTTGTCATTCATGGTATTGGGCCAAACACCCTTTTCCAGTAACGTTCGCACATTTTCCACAAAGCCAGCTTTTGCTGCCAAAGTCAACGGTGTTTCTCCATCACACGTTTTGTATTCCCACATTGTTTTGTAAGATGCTAGAGGTAATAAGGTAAGGAAAGATAAAACAAAATTAAAGTGCAAGGCTATTAACACATACACGTATACTAGAAAACCTTAAATGTTAAGTCTTCCTGAAAAGTACTTGTCATTATGTTTAACTTAACCTAACTAGTAATATTGCCAAACACACTGAATACTGAACAGTAACTTTTGATCGGTCTATAGATTTCTAAACAAAGTGTTAAAAAAGGTCCAAGATCTTTGCTGGTGCAAATTGATGCAACTTCCCCCAAAAGAAAATTTGCCTGAATATTTAAACAACATAAGATGCTTCATGAAAGATTTGATCATACTTCTTTTAGTGAACAGTTCCAGCTTGTTGTTGTGGGTGGCTGGCTATTATTCTGCATTTCTTTGCTGCTCCCCTTATCTTGTGGGATGTTTTTACCTTACTCACCATCTAAAATGACTTCAAGTATTTGCTGAATTGGCTGAGCCACAGCTTCATGCAGTGGAAACCACCCTCTTTCGTCAGCTTCATCCAAAGCATATTTCTGTTTCACAAGTTCTTGGAGCTCAAATACTTGACCTTAAAAAAACCGAAACAGCTAAATAAGATGCAGTTGGAAAAATAATATAATGGAACCCCAGATTTGAGAAGGGACTATTTTATTTTAGGTTTTTACCTTGCTTTATGGATGTTACGATTTTCCTATTTTCCTCACTAGGTGGTACAAAACTATCCAGAAAAGAGCAGAAAATAGTAAATATTAACAAAAAGTAGATGAATTATATTATTTATTTGATATTTTCCACTAGGTTCTCATCTGAGCCAACTTTTCTTTGAAAACATCAACTACAATCTTGATGATGAACATTGTGACCTCCTAAGTTACGCCTGTTCTGTAGATCTTCAGAGTATTCAAAATTGTCAAATTAGGTGCAATTTCTGCTGCAGGCAGACCTGATAGATCTCCTAATTTAGTAGAGAATTCTGATATGGACTAACAAGCTGTATTTGCTCCATAATATAGAAATCAACCTTTCAGATTCAGAAACGTCAGACAGAGAATGAGAATGTGATGACATCAGAATGTCAACATTCACTAATGAAGGAGAGTTTGATAATAACAATGGCACCTTTTTCCCTGAAAAAAGTTGCAGTGTTTTTAATTATATCATTTAAATCTCCATGAAACAGAAGATAAATGCTGGTGCTCGATACTTCCTTGAGATATTTTGGTGATAAAAGTGTATTAAAAAATAGATCAGATTTAATAAACAAAACCAAAACCAAACTACAAATTAGCCAAATAACAGGAGGTTCCAGTGACTTGAGAGCCTACAGTGAAAAGGAAGATTCCAGTCCTACATCAGAAGCCCCATGAGGACTCAAACCTTCATGAGATCCCACAGGAAATGAGGAAAACTTAATAGTCCCGCGAGACTTACAGCTCTATGTCTTTCCATTTTATACATGGCAATCTACAAATCGTATTTATGCGACTATTGCCAAAGAACTATTAAGAGGAAGTTTAGCTTTGTTTGACACATACACTTTAAGAAGGTAAATGGCCTAAAAAGCTAAGGGACACATTATACTTTAGACAAGTGAATCTCATCTCCCTAAGCTCTCATCACTCCATGTATCTTAGCTGAGCCCTACATTTCCTAATCATGGGAACCACTCTTAACCATAACATTAATGTCATGTTATGAAGCCTCTCTGGAACACCCCTGTGGGTTATTTGTTGTTGTTCTGGTTTGGATTTTTTTGTACATGTATGTATCCCAGTGAACAGGGAAAGAACAGGACATTGTTACAATTACAGAGCTGACAGATCAACAAATCCAAATTCATTGTTTTTAAAGTTTGAGGTTTTAGAAATGTGAGAAAAACAAAATCGGTATTTCTGTTTTGTCTACTTTTTCAATCATTGCTTCAGTGCTTCACTGAGAAAGAGGTGTAATAGTCTAAGAACTGCTTTAAGCATAAGGTACTAAGTATCAGTCTCAAAACACAGTTAAAATATGGCATAATTTCTAACACATATTGAACTGACAGTACCTGTCATTATAGCTGGAAGATGCTGTTGGTTTGGCCCCCTTTGCTTCTTGAATGCTAAGCTGTATGGCATACTCGGTGAGTAAATCTTCAACCAAATCTTCTCTTTCATCCATTGTAAGCTATAATGAAGAGCTACTTTGAAACAGAAAGATACACTTCTAAGAATCATATCTTGCTTAAACTATTTCTTATTTTAAAATCCTGTGTTT